CCCGTGTTTTTCATGTGTTATTGTATATTGTTCATTTGTTACTGATGTGTTATTGTGTTATTATAACACCAAGAATATTCTCAGGACACAATAACACATGAATAACACACAATAACACCAGAATAACAAGGGGAATATTTCCGACAGAGAAAAAAACGACGCGGTAACACGGGGAATATTCCCCCCTCCCCCCGGTGTTATTCTGGTGTTATTGTGTGTTATTCATGTGTTATTGATGTGTTATTGTGTTATTATAACACCAGGAATATTCTTAGGACACAATAACACATGAACAACACACAATAACATATGAATAATACGGGGGGAATATTCCCCGTGTTACTGCACCGTTTTTTTTCTGTCGCGTGGAGTGTCGTGACGTGATTTCATTGGCTACGCACGTTACTCTACGTGCGTAGTACTGATGTAATATTTTTTCCTTGAACACAGGGCCTTGTGATTGAAGACAAAGCACCCAATCACCATGCCAAGTGATGCTGCACACTATCATGCCTTCCTTTCTTCCAACATAAACATTTAAGAATATACTGATCAAAATTTGATCATAATAGGTTTTTAAAATCTTTGAGCTTGCTTTGAAATGTGTGCAATAGAAAAAAATTAATTGATTATTCATATTTTGCATTATTGCAAAAACAAATCGGAGAATTGCAAAACCCATTTAGGTCTGGATATACTCACCCAAAAGTTTCCCTTTTAATCATACACATTAAATATATAAACATATAATTTTGGGTAATTTAATGGAGTTTTTATTTTCAAATATGGCAGCTTCCATTGGAGTCTCAACAGGAACTGATTCGCCTGCCTGCTGATTTGGCTACAAGGTTGGTGTCTAGGATGGTTGCAAGGACCATAAGAAGGATTTTTGCATAGAAAGGTGATTAATCCATTTACACAAATACCCAAAAAACTTAATCCATAAATTAATCTGCAATATTTGGGTCATCAGCTACAGAGGTGAAGCTGTGCATATCCTGAGGGTAAGTTTGTCTGCCCAACAAATTTCTTGAATACTTTCAGCATAGAAAAGCTTAATGAAATATGGAATTTAATTTAATTTAATTAATTTTCCAAGCTTTAGAAAATATATTGTTGCTCTTTTGCTTGTGATTTTCATGATAGTTGATTTTATTTTAAATTTTTTATGCCATAAACCCTTATTTAACATGGAAAATATTGGGTGATACATTATTATTTGGTATTTATGCAACTTCTAATTGCCCCCTTTGTGAAGCCCAAAAAAAAAAAAAAAAAAAAAAAAAAAAGAGGAGAAGCTTCAGGAGACACCTTGACTAAAAATTTATTAATTATAAATACATTATAAATTAAAAATAAATTAAATTTTGGGGGATTTAAGCACATACATGCCACTTTGCTTTTTGCAATTACACCACCCAAATCTATTAAATCACGTCAAAATATCACTATTTTAACTTTCAAATGTAAGATAAAATGAAATATATGTAAAATTGAAGTTTAGGTTTTGTACATGTAGATAAGAATTGAGTGGTATGTGTGTAAATCTTATATTCCAAAACCATTAAAAAATATTAGTTTCTCAATTTGAGGGTAAAACAGTAAAATCATAAAAATCCTTGTGAATCATAAAGCTTTGCAAAAAAAGTTTAATAAATAACAAATTTCTCTTTTACCTACCATCAGTTTCCAAGTCCAAAGCCCGTTGTTCAATTTCTAAACATAGCATCAAACAATAGGGCTCTTATTGCTCGTGAATAGCTCGTGTTCGACTCGTTAAGGAGATCGTCTTCGGCTCGTTAATTTTGTTCGATAAGTTAACGAGCCGAACACGAATTAAGATGTGTTCGTTCGTGTTTGGCTCGTTTTGGCTCGAAATACTACTCGTCAAGTTTATATATATTGAGAAGTATTTTAAAAAAATTTAATTGACTGCATAGCTACAAAGATTTATAACCAATTAAAATATTGATTAAGAAAATAGAATAAAATTACTAAATTAGATTCAAATGATGTTTTAATATAAATGATAATTTTTAAATTTTGCTCAAATTCTTATTGTCTTATGGTACATGATTAGGGCTGTTAAAATGACTCTTTGTTCTTGAACAGCTCGTGTTCGGCTCGTTAAGGAAACGAGCCGAAAACGAGCGAGCACGAACACGAGCGAGCATTCGGCTCGTTTACACCCCTATCAAACAAGCCTATTTTACAAGAAAAGTTTGCATACATAAGACGTACGCAGCGCTGCGTGCGTCAGGTAGGTTACTGGGAGGGTATTGAGGGGTTATATTCATGTTATACCCCCTGTAACTTCTCTGTAACCTTCTTGTAACCTACTTGTACGTTCTAGTAAGTTACGCATTTTTTTTTCATATATTTGTAGGTTACAGAGAGTATAACGCGGATACAACTCATCAATACCCTTCCTGTAATCTACCTACATCTTACGTACGCAAAATTTTCTCCTATTTTACATCCAATTATTCATTTCTTCTCATCATCGTCTACACATTGGAAATATGTGGGCCTTTTCAAAGGATAGAAATCTGTCTCATATTTTCATGAAAATAAATGTCTGCAAGCTATGAAAATAAATTTGGGACATAACAAAGATACTACTATTCCTACCAATTTTTTTTGAAGATTTACATTTATACCACTCAAATTTTATGTATTCACATTTCGAACACCAAAACTTCTATTTTCACATACTGACCACCTTACCTATGCATGAAAAGCTGTATTTCACATTTTAAAAGTTAAAATAGTGATATATTTGATGTGATATTAAAGATTTGAGTGGTATAATGTAAAACGTGAAAGTTTAAGGGTTAGATATGTAAATACATAAGAATTAAGAGGTATGCATGTAATGCACCTACAAATTTAATTTTGGATGATTAACGGTCATAGGTTACTGATACAACATAAAAGATATGCACAATACAAATGCACAAGAAATATCACACAAGTCAACATTTAATTCACACATTAGTAACTGCTAACTAAGTAGATTAAAAGCAAGAACAATAACAAAAATCTCCCTAAGAGGAAGATCCAAGTCTCACGCATAGGGCCATAAATGAACCAATACACTTGTTGAACAACTCCAACTCGCTCAATCAATACTTAGCCATCTTTCTTTAAATTAGTAAATAAAAAACTTCGAATATTTTTGTAAAACTCGAGGGTTAAATGAACCAAATTTGAAAATAGTCAAATTCGTTTGTTGATGCTCACGAACAAACTCAATTGATCAGCAAGTTGTTAAATGGTCCATATTTAATTATTATGATATATAATTAAGGAAAATTAATTAATTATAACTTATTTAATTATGTATTTAATAGTAAAATATAATAATTTAATATCAATATGCATATAAATTTAAAACAATTTTTTTTTAATTTTTTTTTATTTCAATGAATTCGTTTGTTAGTACTTATTTATATTATCTCATTGTATGAAAGCTCACTTACAACTTATATATTATTTGTATTATTTGGTATAAACTAGTTAGATACTGATTTGAAATTTATTCAATTGCTTATTTAATCATATTTATAAAAGTATTTGTTAATAACTTCATATAAAATATTAAATATTCAATCAAATTTTTAGCTTGTTTACTAGTTTTTTATGAAAAAATCAAGTATAAAGCAAATATTTATTTTTACATTAAAAATCAAGTACTCATTCGAATTTGAACCTTATTAAATTAATCAATTCAAGTACAAATCAAATATGCTCATTTAAAATTTTAAACAAGCAAGTATGAACGTATATGTGAAAATTCGGTTCAAGCAAAATATGTATTTATTTTTATATACATGTTGCCTGGGGCTGTCAAAATGGCTCGTTGCTCGCGAACAGCTTGTGTTTGACTCGTTAAGAAGCTCATGTTCGGCTCGTTAATTTCGTTCGATAAGTTAATGAGACGAACACGAACAAAGATGTGTTCGTTCGTGTTCGACTCGTTTTGGCTCGAAATACTACTCATCAAGTTTATATATATATATATATATATATA